GATTTCCCATGATTTCCCCAAAGAGTTTTTTTTTGTTTGCCCATTTGAGGACATCATTACAGCACCATTTCTGGCAGGTCAATTTCCATTAAACATCATCAAACCACATGTTTGAGTTTCCCATGAAATCCCATTCCTTACCTTTAAATCCCGTTGCATCGTTTAGATGCATTATTTTTTTTCCCATTGAAACCCTTGAACCCCCCCTGTTTCACCCAGGACACTTGGAGGATCCCTTCCACTGTTTCGAGCTGCTTCTTTCGCATCAGCGTCTCCCCAGCAGCTTCCTACACGCACTGGCGGCCTGGAGCCGCAAAAATGCCAAGCGCGAGACGAAGATCACGGCGAGGCGCCTCTGTGCCTTGGAATCCTTGGATGTGAACATGGCTATTTTGATGGGTGCTATATGGGTGCTATAAACATCTGGCAGTGTGTCAATGTACCCCTGTAGTTCACATCAAAATAGCTGGTAAATGGATGTTCATCCCCCTAAAAATGGTATTAGGTATTGATCCATACCCATCTAAGAAACATGGGCGTTTTATTGCTTTACTAACATTTCTTCCATGGGGATGTGACCATGACATACCATGATTTTATTGGGGGGTTGATGTTTGATGGTTTATATTTGACCACCATTGATGGAGGAAAGTACATGTGATCATATTTGCTCGATTTTTGCTCGGTAATTGTTTCTTCGAGTTTTGATGTGCTTCAGTCTTTTTGAGATTGGAGAATTCGCGGTCCTGTTTCAGCTTTGAAGTTTGAACTACCCATCTGATGGATTACCCCAGACACAGCTGGCCTTGGCAGAATTGAGGTGCGCTGGATGATGCAGTAGCTCAACGCGGCTTTATGTCGAGGGAAACTTGGTGAAGCAACTCAGGGGTTTGCACGGGATAATGTGGCTACCTGGCTACTCCAATCAGCGAACGTGTTAGATATGGTATACGGTATACAGTCAAGAGGGTATAGAGTTTAAATGCGTCAGCAGACCTTAGTTGATGAATGCTCGTTGACTAACTATCCCCAACTATCCCCCACTATCCCCAACTATCCCCAACGGAAGGGTTGAAGCCCCCCCAACTATCCCCAACTCTTAGGTTTCGAGGATCCCCCATGAGTTACTTGACCTCCACGGTGCCGGGCCCTCGTCCCGCCGGTGCCAGGAAAATCTGGACGCGGCCATCCGCAGCTATTTGGCCTTCCGAGCCGAAAAGATTTGAAGCAGCGCTTGTGCCAGCTGGGTTTGTCCCAAGAAAGGGAGATACTCCACATTTTCTGTTCTGATGTATTTTGATGGGTCACAACTATCATTTGGGTTTCCAAAAGTGGTGAGTTTACCATGATTTAACCCTCTAATATGCCCACTGTATTAGGAACACATGATAAAACATGGGATGTTTGAGTAAAATTTTCAGGGACCCTTACAGGTTCCTCACAGTTAACACAACCTGTGAATCATTCAGGAGCGGGACACGACCAGCACCCAATCGAAATCCCTGGTCCAAGCGCCAGACCCCTGAACTCGGTATGGCTTAATTGGGCAGTGTCAAAAACGGACTGGATGATGATGATGTTTGGTGGTCGGGGATTCCCAGCTCCTGAATCATGATGATAATCCGTAATAGAGCAGCGGCAGCATTATAAAGCCCTGCAATCGTCAGCCAACTAGAGTCTTTGAAACTGCTCAATTGGCCCACAGCATATTGGCATATTCCAGTTGCAACCACAGGGTGAGAGCATTCTACATAATCCGTGAGCTACTGACAATATTTCCCTACTACGTCACTAATTGGCATGCTTTGCTCATGGGATTCCTTGCAATGACATAGAGAACCCCTGAGAAACATCTTGGATGTCCATCCCCAGCTTGTGGCTGCATGAATTGATTGGCTACTACTTGTAAGTCCCAGTCAGAATCAGAAAATCCCTTCATGGATTATATAAAACTCAACAGTTGATTGGCCATTAAGTACAATTATTGGTCATTAATTAAGACTGTTGAACCAATGTTAAACCGTTGAGATTGGTTTGTATTATCACTGTTGGTATTCGCGGAAGCTCCAACTGTGCAGCGTGGAAGCAGCGTTTCTTGACTGCGTGACATGTAGCAGAAGAGAATGATACGTCAATTAACTGGTTGGTGGTTCGGAACATTTTTTGTTTTTCCATATATTGGGAATTTCATCATCCCAACTGACGATCTCATATTTTTTCGAGGGGTAGGTATACCACCAACCAAATTAATTACACATAATTACACAACATATTTCAGCACATCAACCGGGGTTTTTGCCGCCCAATTCCACACATCGTCAGAATGGGTTCGGCGCCGAAACGGACGCCAGGTCCCTTGCCCCTCGGCCTCTGCCTGGAGAAGTTTCTTGAAGCCGACGACTCGGCACAGGGCACCGGATCCGGGATCAACCTCGGGGATGTACTATTATATATATTATTTATATACTAACTTAATCTCTCTCTCTCTATATATATACTATATATATAATTATTATTTAGAATATATATATATATAATATAATATAATATAATATTATATTATATTATATTCTATTATATTCTTTTCTATTCTATTCTATTATATTATATTATATTATATTATATTTATAATATATATAAGATTAAAATATGTATAGATAGAGTTATCCTGGAGTAGATAGATAGAATATGAATGAATAGAATATGAATGAATATGGACATTTCAATGAAATCCTCACTAAAATATCCTTATGAAAATCCAATGTTCTATCTACTTCAGGTGTCGTGATGTCACTGGAATGGCTGCAAGTTTCAGCTATTTTGAGCTTGGTGAATTATTATAATTCAGCCAGATCTACCCTCTGGTAAACGTTTACATAACTATGGAAAATCACCATTGTTAATGGGTAAATCCACTATAAATGGGCCATTTTCAATAGCTATGTTTGTTTACCAGACAGTAGTTACAATACTAAATCAAGATGGCGGGTGAACTATTATGAGCAGAGGACGATGATTCAGATGGCTGGTTGAGCAAGTCTTGAACCATTCAGGTTAGCCAATCTTGACACTATCGTGATTCGATACTCATGATTCTTTTTGTTGTGAACCTTTAAAAGTTAGTGCGGAGACCAGCAATGGCAATGTTCCCAAAAAAAATTCAGAGTTGTAGCTTTGGAACGTACCGAACTCGAAGACTCTTAAGTTTGAACCCAGACTATTCAATGGATCAACATGGATCAACTACCCTCTGGTAATTTAACATAGCTATTGAAAATCACCATTTATAGTGGATGTTCCCATTAAAAATGGTGATTTTCCATAGCTATGTTAAATTACCAGAGGGTATCTCCTTTGGTCACAAAACTTGAAGGTTCAGGTTTAAGGTCCCGCAAAGCTCACTTCAAACCTGCCGAGGTTGGGCCTCTTTGTGCTCTTCATCATGGGTGCTTGCCACTTTGGGAGAAACTTCCAAGGCGCTGGGGTTTTTAAGGAGGTTACAGTGAAGGGTTGAACGGTTGAACCACAGGATTGGTTGAAACCATAAATCTCATGGACCATGGATGACGTCAGGTCGCTATAGCCACTATGGCTTGAATTGTTGATACATCTTTGGGGATCTGTGCTGCTTTACTTCAAGACTTTCTATATCTTTCCATACTTATCTTGAAACATGATCCCAATTACGTTCCGGGCATCAAGCATGCCAATGGAACAATCCCCTACAAACGAGATTTGTTTCATGGGACAATCATCTATACATGGGGAGATTTCCCACCCTGTTTGATGAGGGTAATCCAGGCAGCATTTTTTGAGCAGGCACCGTTCATATACCCTCTGATAGTCACACATGGCAATGGGAATTCCCACTGTTGACAGGAACATCATTAATATAAACAGATTCGATGGAGATGGGTAGGCGCTTGCTCGGGTTTGATTGCCACAGGGTATACGATTATTTACATACGCGCACAATACATCTATACTTTATATATATATATATACATACACGTATAATATACATCACATATATATATATATATCGAATTATCGCAAAATTTGGTGTTTTCACAGGATAGTGTTTTGGCTTCTGGGTACTGAACTATGTGGCTTTCGAGTCGGGATCAAGGGCTTGAAGTTCTAGGATTCCAGGGTCCAGGGCTTGCCACATGCCGACATTGAAGCGCCCTGCAACGAAGAAGCCAGCCGCTGCACTTCCCAAAAAAAGACCAGCAGCAAGCAAGGACTGATTGTGCCAGGGCAGGGCCAAGAAAGGCAAAGGGGTTTGATAAGTTTCAGGACTTTGAGCATAACATGGGATTTTGACTCATTGGGTGCTAGTGAGATTTGCCGTCATGCCCCCCAAAAAGCGTGCTCGGACTTCTGGTGGCAATGCCAAGACCAGTATGCCAGCCCCGGAAACTATGGATGATGTGTGTGAAGCCCGGGTCCAATTGAAGAATTGGGTTGCGGAAGCTTACCTCGGGCGGCATGGGTTCTCAACAGAGAGGAAGTTCCCCGTGAACTATGGTGGTTCTTTCTCGAGATTGTCCAGAAGTGCTGGGAATATGATGCTTTCATGGATGATAGTGCCGCTTTTCTCAAGAAGATTGGCCTCGTGGACAGCGCAACTGAAACAGATGCGTTTCTCGAGAAGACTTGCAAGATGAAGGTTACCCTGTGATAAAAAAACATGGGCGCAGTATGGATCAAATCTAGTCAACATGGATGCATTTAGATCACCAAAAGGAATGTGATCTGACCATATATTGGGCCCACCGGCACGAACCTCATTTTGATCCATACAGTTCATGACATAAGCAAACTTTACACCACACTACAGTTCCGATGCTTGGTCCTGGCCCGGAGGTGTTTCCGCCTTTGCCGGGATCTTTTTTTGCGACCAGCATCCTGCAGTGGTCATTTGACGCAGACTCCTTTTGGAGAACCCCAGACATGGCCACGGTGTATGACATCAGCAAATCGATCGCAGTTGCTGGATGGAAGGATGCCACTGGTCATCAATGAGTGGGGGTGGTGTAGTATACCCACAAGTCCTAAGGAATGTGATTTTGATATTGGAAGCTCTGCTTCTCTTACACCTGTTTTGGAAACTTGCAAATTATCTTTCCCAGTGGGACATATGGACATCATACCAACTTTAAACTTTTTGACTCACTTTACAGATCGCCACCCATAGAATCTGGACAGCTCGCCGCCCATGGAATCGAGATAGCTCGCCGCCCCCGGAATCGGGTTAGCTCGCCGCCCTCAGAAGCGGGGTAGCTCGCCGCCCATGGAATCGGGATAGCTCGCCGCCTTGAAATTTTCAACATTCTCTTTAGACATACTGCTGGTTAAGCTCCACTCACCATGTTTAGCAAAAAGCTCGCCACTTTGGGATCTCCATACCGGGGGCCTGGGTGGAGAGCTCTTCTGGGAAGAGCTCGCCGCCTCCAGACTCTAGGTGGCGAAGCCCCAAAGCAGTAGTGAAAACTTGCCACCATGTGAAGGGAAAACCATTTCAGGCATATACCCTTTAAACTAAACAGCAAGACCTTGTATGAAAAAAAAGATGAATCCCAGACATCTACACGAGCCAGGGGTGGAGAGCTCTTCTGGGAAGAGCTCGCCGCCCAGGGGGTCCAACTTCCAACCTCAAAGTGGAGACCAAAAACCTCTCCGAGGAAGTGTGCCAATGGGTTTCGAGCTTGAATTCTCTTAACGTCTCGCCTAATGCCGGGGGCCACGGTGGAGAGCTCTTCTGAGAAGAGCTCGCCGCCTCCAGACTCTAGGTGGTGAAGCCACAAATTCTGTCAAATTTCCATCCATTGAAGGCAACCATTTCAGGCATACCCTTTTTAGTGGAAACAATACCTTCGGATGCAAATTTGAGGATGCATACCATATAGATCTACACTGGCCTTGGGGTGAATCATGGGGTTAGGCTGCAGAATTGTTATAATTACCTATGAAGATGAAACTGGTTAGCACGATACGGTTGGTTATTTTTGTTGTGGTTTAAATGGGAGTGAATGCTGTTATCTTGTAATTTTCTTTGAAGGACCAACCTGGATAAGATTGGTCAACTACTTTGGGTAAATTCATCAGCCTTAAGTGTAAGAAGACACAAGCACTGAATGCCAAGTAGAAATATGATTAACAAAGTCTCGCTCCACCAATGGATTTCCACTACCACCACAAGAAGGTTGGACTGCCATTGTAATGTACTCACTTTTTGGGGCCAACCCCTGCCAAAACTAGAACATCTTGATTCCAGAAACCGCGTCTGACTCATTGCTGACAAGGGGAGAGCTTTGGCCTGCGACTTTCCGACGGTGATCAGCCAATGGATGATGGAGCCAACCTGGAGCCTCATGTCCAAGAGTTTCGGTTCGACGACGGGGGCATGAAGGGATTAGCGGCAGCCCTCTGTTGGTGTGGATTGGTCTACTTCGTGAGCAATTTGGATGACTCTGTGGTTTGTCATGGAGGGGTGAAGGAGCTGGCAATGTCTCTCCTTTCGGTTCCAACCTACTACAAGAGGCCCGGCCAAGACCCAGCTCATGCGATGATTGGTCGCATCATCCGTCAGAACGTCCAGGCCAAGAAGATGGCCGTAAGTTCGTTCGAGTGGTCCCAAATTCTTGGGAAAATGGCAATGGAAGATAAGGAAGGTGAAAAAATCACGGTGCAGGAGGCCATCGAGATCTACAATGGGAACCCGAAGTGGTCTCCCATGGAGGCAGTGGTGGGTCAAAGGACCATATTTTGCTCCGACAAGAGCCACTATTTTTCCGAGAAGCAGGCCAAAGAGGCCGGGTTTGTCCATGATCCTGACTGCAATCGCTCGGGAAATCTTGATGAGATTGAAGATGTGGACTAGAAATTTTGATATTTCAATCAAATTTTGATCCAGCAATTCCAGCAGAGCATCCGCCCGACAGCGGCAAGAACGCGAGAAAAAAGGTGGCCAAGAAGCAGCAGCAAAACGAAACCACCATGGCATGAAAACACTAAAAATCCTGCAAGTTCCTTATATATATATATATGTGATGTATATAATTCTTTGCAGGGACGGGTCAAGAGTCAAAACTGAACACCTCAATGAGTATTTCGAACATTTTGAAACCACCCTACGCACTGCCTGGTTTTTTCGTGCAGGCAGTGGCAAAAAGAGCAGTTTCGAGTTTCGTGCCCCTGACACCAGGCTTGGGAAATCTCATGAAACCTCGAATTTTTGAGGCATTTTTAAAGCAGCCACAGTCTGAAGCCATGGCGGTTCAGCTTTGGATTCCCATATGGGGATGATGATAAAAGGGGGAAACCAATCATCAGCCTCCATTGAGCCTGGTAGTATGACACATCATACGCCATTAGAAATGAGTTTGTTTGATGGCCTTTCTTAAGTGCTGAGCAACACACCCACTCCACTTCAAGCCAATGCATACGATACACATACCCGTATCCCACCACATGAAGCTATCATAGAACTGGATGATGGGAAAATTTACAGGAAACCCCTATATTTGATGGTAAAAACCATGGTTTCCTGTAGATTTTCCCTTAAACCGCATGGAACGTGACCCTGCGGAGGCTGTCCTTTTCATCCTTAGCCTCCTCGCTACTGATGCTGGCGGCCGGCCTTTGCGGGTGCCCAGCGGGCGTTTGAACCACACCAAGCCGAGTGGTTGGTTTGAAATGGCTTTGAACCACATACCCTCTGGTAATTTAACGTAGCTATTGAAAATGGCCATTAATAGTTGATTTTCCCATTAAAGATGGTGATTTTCCATAGCTATGTTAGTTTACCAGTGGGTAGTTAGTAATCAAGAGTTACTCAATATGTCGTATATAATTATCTACACACAGCAACTAATAAATCAAGAAATAGATAGAACATATATCTATATATACGCAAGAATTGCATGTATTCACAAACCTCTCTTTTTTTTTGGTTCAACGATGTTGAGGATCTCCTCATTTTTGGTGACTAGATGTTGGTGAGGTCACAAACTGCTCTTCGTGGTTAGCATTGAGAGTACTGAACTTCAAAATGTAAGGTCCACAGATATCAAAAGCTAAACTACATCAGCTATGAGCTTGAATTTTGCGGCTTTCAACCCGCAGTTTTGTTTTACTTTTTTTTTTTTTTGCGGGGCTGACGTCAGACGGATGCACCACATTAAGAATGATTAATTGCCTTTCATCCTGTATTGATTCGTAATGATGAACCATGATTACCAATGATGAATAGTCAAGTAACAACCAATAGTAATGGCGAACAACTAGTAACTTAACTAGTCGTTGGTAGCAATAATTTTATTTCTATTTGATTGCTAATAGTAACTGGCGATAGTCAGTAGGAACTAATAACATCTAAAAACAACAGTAAAAATATTGTGAATGATGGTTCGTAAGCAAAAATAGGGCAATATAGTGCCTATCAATAAATAAAATTGCTGGGAATATATGATCCTAGAACTCAATATATTTATGGAATAATCACTGGTTTGAAGGGAACATCTTAATCGGTTTTCCCATGGTTTTCCCCATGAAATATGCGGGTTTCCTGTATTGAATGTGGCAATCCACAATCTTCCTCAAAGCTCAATTTCAGAAGGGGTCATGTGTTTGACTTTAAATGTTGTGCCGCTGTCTAAGCAGATTTGGCCCAAAACGTGGCTCCTAAATTTCTGGGCTGCAACAGGGGTACCACCTCTATTAAACGAATCATTTGGGACTGAACCTGGCAATTGAACACATTGGTTTTTTTTTGCAGGCTCTCTCAAGTGGAATGAGCTACCTCAGCCACACCGCGCTAGCTCAAACACATTGCTTTAGCTCGATGGCATCGAGCTGGTTCAATATTTTTGAACGAAAAAAACGAAAAAAACATCCTCCAAAAAATTGAGCCAGCTACGTCACGTTGAGCTGGTGAACGAATGTGAAAGCTAAAAAACGAACACGTAGTATGTATTGGCCAGCATGATGACGGCACACTGACCTGGCTCAAGGGAATGTAGCTGGCTCCATTTTTTCGCGTTTTTTTTTCAGTTCAAAAAAATTGAGCCAGCTAGGAGGCGCTGAGACAGCAACGAGGCATTGAGCCAGCTACGTGGCACTGAGCCAGCAACGAGGGAATGGTGAATCTGTACTGTGCGGGACCGATGGATTTTCCGATGCAGCCTTTGCAGTTCCAACAAACCAAATTATTGATTAATTCTGGCACCATATGAGATAAAATAGAAGACTGGCAGTCTATACATATGTATACGTAAAGAACCCCAACCGTATAATTATGGTCAATCTGAGGCAACACCAGTTTTCTTGAGGGAGACGCGCGCCCTTGAGCTGGAGGGAGGTTGGGAAAAGTAACTTTCGACTGTAACATGTCCCTTTTTTCCAAGCCAATGATTGATAGTTCGCAGTAGCAGCAACATCAAGCACTCCACAGGTGCCTTGGGCGCTTGATGGCCAACCGTTCCCATGAGTACGAGAAGCTCAAGGCAAGGGCATGGCAGATGGATCGATATTTTTTTCCATGGAAATCCATGAAAACTGGGATCAGTTGGGTAGATCAACTTGATGATTTCGGTATATTTTGAGACTTTCACCACTTTTTTTCAGATCTCAGATCATTTTTTGATGGGACACGGCTGCTCTTTCTCTCATACGTGTTGCTTCTATGGTGATCAAAACTTGTTCTTTTCCATTGTTTTTCCACCTTGGGGGATAGTTATCAATCCATTTCCGACGGGATTTTTCATTAAACCCAGAGAATCCCATTGTTAGGGGCTGCCGCCCCCTGTCCCCTGTCGCCGACCCGGGAAAACATAATGAGTTGAATATGCAGTCCAGAGAGGGGCATGGCAAAGATGGGTTTGACTACGAAACATTGGAGCTGTTAACGAACAGGGATATATTATTATTATTATTAATATTATTATTTTTATTATTACTATAGTGTGCCTCGGTTCTGCAACGTACGGACCGGCTTTCGACATATACCCAACTCTAAAGCCGGAGGAGTCAACAACTATTCCTACAACGCTGGAGAATTGGTACTGTATGCTTTTGAACCCATATCTTTCACAAACATGATGCTACTATGGCTGTTGCAGCTGATCAGCTATGACAACCATCCAACACCAGTTGCTTTTACTTGCAGCTCGAGTTCGATGGTGGGGTGCAACCTGGATCCACCGAAAAAGTGCCCAACCAAAAAGAAAATTGTCGGTTGTCGGTTGTTGGTTGTTGTGCTTGTTGTTGTTGTTGTTGTCGTGGTGGTGGTGGTGGTGGTTGTGGTTGTTGATACACGCGGCCGGCACAAACAAACATACCTTTGCTGTCATATGGCGGTTATGATGTGTGGAGTCCCATGGCATGTGCTTCGGTGAGGGCGAGGATTTCGATTTGGACGGTGTGCGGGAATCCCTCAACGACTTCCTGGATGAGGCCTGTAGTGCGATGATCCATGAGTGGCCAAAGGGCCATGGTAGCCATGGGTAGGGGAGATTTGGTGTCAACTGAAGGGGATATGAAGTTATGTTTCAAAGTTAAATATGTTAAATCAGAATGTATCATTGTCCATGAATGATTATGGTTCATTGATGGGTGGAATTTACTTGCAACATGTGCTGGTTCAACGCAAAAAACCACCAATTTTGATCAATTTTGTAATTGTAGGTGGCACCTCAGTCTTTGACCCAACACATGTTGCATATGTTAGATCATGCAGAACGCAGTGCCCTGAAACAACCTCACCATGAATATGATTGACATTGGAAACACCCATCAAACATGGTTTTGAATCTGCTTTGGGATTATTGCAAAGTATCCAGATACAGTACTTGAATGTGTTTGGATGTATTATATATGAACAGGCACTTGATACATTATGCAATGTACAAAGAAATGCACACATCATAATTTGTGATACAATGACGGGAATCGAATACCAAGGAGCATTCGTCACAAATTCCAACAATGTTTGCCTGCGGTGGCACTCACTTGTTCCTATCTGGTTTTTTGGATGATGAACACCCCGTCAACCAAGGGGAATGGAAGGCCGGTGCATTTCGAGGTTCGTGATGCTTCAGCCCTGGACTTGTTTTCAGTGTCTTCCCCAATGTCAGGATGATGAAGACGGACATCATCCGGCACCATACAACAGGTTGGGTCATTTCTGTGTGCTAGCCGGGAAACTGCCGATGTCCAAGTGTTGTTGAAGGAATTTGGAGCCTCCAACCTTCCTCCGTCTGATTTTTTTTCCTCCCGGGAGGGAAACAATCCTACTTTTGCTGGGAGATCTCTAATGGCCGGAGGTTCATTCACCTGGTCATTTCATCACACGCATCCTGCCAGTGCTGCCCTCGACAAGAAACAGGAGGAGGCTCGCGTTGTCACAGGCGGGGCAGGGAGAGGTCTGATGATAAACTCTGAACCTGAAACCTTGTGATGTGGGGTAACTATATACTGGGATTTTATTTGACCAAGTATGGAACAGTCGGAACAGTTGTCATTCTTGTATGGATGATATGCCGAACATTTGGTTGTGAACATCAGGATTTTTCATTGCCATAGAAAATGGAAAGAGCCCGAACTTTTGGGTTTCCCTCATTTGATTGAAAAGAGTCCGAGACACAGTGGACGACTGAGGGTCCATAACAACTGGGAAAAACTTTATTGTTTCGGCACATATGCTGCAATCTATGAGTTGTGTGCCCCCATGTTTCTTGCTCTCCCTTTGCTCCATATGTATGTTTGTTGCTTGGTATCACAACGTCTTTTTTTCCGAGTGTATATATATATATATTATATAATATGTATAAGCTAACATACAATTGAGCAGTGTTCAAAACCCTTGTCGGTTGATGATTAGTCCATGGGTTGTTCAAAACCCAACAAAAATTGGGAACCCGTATTGGTTGATGATTAACTAGAGGGAATTACACTACCAGATTGCTAACATCCAATTGATGATTATAGGGGACTATATATATATATATACACATCAAATTAGATGATTATAGGGTATTATAATCCCCTATTTTTTTAAACATTGACATGGTTGATTATAGCAATATAATGATAACTATGATGGATTATGATAATTTACCTAACAATTTACCCTTTTTTATTCATCTTCCAGGCGCAGCGGCCTCCGCCGCACGGGATCAGGCTGTTCCGCGCCTGGTGCGGGGCCTGGCGCGAGGTCCTCGAAGTATTCCTTGAAGCAACGGCATTTCATGCTGATTTTCATGGTGATTTCATGGTCTTTTTGATGGATTTTCATAGGAATCCATGGGATTTTCATAGGAATCTATGGGATTTTCATAGGAATCTAGAGATGGATATGTATATATATATATATATCTATATATCTATATATATATATATATCTATATATCTATATATATATACATATATATATATATCTCTCTCTCCCTCCCTCCATGTATATATTATGGATTTATATGATAATGTAATGACCCTAGGGTAAACCTACAATAGAAAGTGGAAAAGCCATGGGCCAATGGGTAATCTTCGGAAAATCGTCCAGAAATGGTGTTTTTTTTTCCACATCGAACTGTTAGTTTACAAAAAGGGTACCCTCTGGATATTATCATATTATCATCATAAATTATCTATCAATGGGCCATGGTTTTCAGAAAGCTATGTTCACCAGAGGGTAAAACAATGATGTAAAAAAATGATTTTCTGGTGATTTATTTTCTCTCATTGATGGTTTTCTTGCAATAATTGATATGCTGCGAATAGCAGCATGTTGTAAACCTTATGATTCATTACTGTACAGTAAACCTTCAATTGGGCATGGTTTATGATACGGTCCATTTCTGGAAGAATTGGCGGTTGATGGTTTTGGGATGTTTGGGTTTATATACATTAGTCCTTTTCCATACACAATTTTTGATCTTCTAGACCTCGAGAGTATGTTATGATCACAGGAGCTTCAAGTAGTGATCAAACAGTTCAGGATTGGGAAGCCATGCTTGCAGTAAGTCTTGGAAACATGCAATTTTTGTTTGCATCTTGTCGTGCAACTGTCTTCTACCCCCATGGTTGCTGAAGATAGTGCTGAATATCCACAGAAATTGCTTGAGATGACCTGATATGCTCACCACTCATTGCTTAAATCGCCATGAATCCCTATTGTTGGCTGAATCCCAATCTTTGCTGTTGAATATCCACATGATTGCGTAACATTGGGTTGTTTGTTGGTTATCCCATTCTTTGTGGCTGGTTGTGCCCAATCTCAGAATTGCCAGAACCCCACATTTGGACGTCGAAAATCTGTGGATTTTCGTTTGTTCTCTTCACGTTCTCCCATAAATCTGGATCTTGGTTAGTGAACATCTCCAAACCCTCAAGAAAACGGAGACAACTTTGGCTTTGCGAACCCTTCCGCCATTATTGAGACATGTCTTTTTTTCCTAAAAAATACCATGTTGGAATATTTCCAGAATATTCATATTTGAATATTCCCGAGAGCGTCTGAGCGCAGGGTTCTTCCAATAGTGGGGGTCTGTATCTCATCTTCTCATCTTCACACCTTCTCATCTTCACATCTTCTCTCACACCTTCTCATCTTCACATCTTCTCTCACACCTTCTCATCTTCACATGTTCTCTCACACCTTCTCATCTTCACATCTTCCCTCCCACCTTCTCATCTTCACATCTTCTCTCACACCTTCTCATCTTCACATCTTCTCTCACACCTTCTCATCTTCACATCTTCTCTCCCACCTTCTCATCTTCACATCTTCTCTCCCACCTTCTCATCTTCACATCTTCTCTCACACCTTCTCATCTTCACATCTTCTCTCACACCCTCTCATCTTCACATCTTCTCTCACACCTTCTCATCTTCACATCTTCTCTCACACCTTCTCATCTTCTCTCACACCTTCTCATCTTCACACCTTCTCATCTTCACATCTTCTCTCACACCTTCTCATCTTCACATCTTCTCTCACACCTTCTCATCTTCACATCTTCTCTCACACCCTTCTCATCTTCACACCTTCTCTCACACCTTCTCATCTTCACATCTTCTCTCTCTCATTCTCTCTCCTTTCTCTCTCTCCTTTCTCTCTCCTTTTTCTCTCTCTCGCCTTCTTTATCTTTCTCTCTTTAGGCCGAGGGTGGTACCGGCGGTGAGTCACGAAACGTCAACCCTTTCGCACGAAATGAAGGTCGATCGTCAAAAACTGAGGAAAAATTGCGACTTTACTTGTCCCGGAGCAACCCTTTCGCACGAAATGAGGGTCGATCGTCAAAAACTGAGGAAAAATTGCGATTTTACTTGTCCCGGAGCAGCAACCCTTTCGCACGAAATGAGGGTCGATCGTCAAAAACTGAGGAAAAATTGCGATTTTACTTGTCCCGGAGCAACCCTTTCGCACGAAATGAGGGTCGATCGTCAAAAACTGAGGAAAAATTGCGATTTTACCTGTGCCGGAGCAACCCTTTCGCACGAAATGATGGTCGATCGGCAAAACCTGAGGTAAAATTGCGATTTTACCTGTGCCGGAGCAACCCTTTCGCACGAAATGATGGTCGATCGGCAAAACCTGAGGTAAAATTGCGATTTTACTTGTGCTAAAACAACCCTTTCGCACGAAATGAGGGTCGATCGGCAAAAACGGAGGTAAAATTGCGATTTTACCTGTGCCGGAGTAACTTTCTCGCACGCAAAGAGGTTTATGTGTACGAGCGTTTCTGTGTAGAGATGTTTGTGTGTAAAAGTGTTTGTGTGTACAAGTGCATCTGTGTAAAAGTGTTGTGTGTAAAACCTTCTGTGTGTAAAAGTCTTTGTGTGTAAACGGGTTTGTGTGTACGAGTGTTTCAGTGTAAAGATGTTGGTGTGTATAAGTGATTGTATGTAAAATTCCATCTGTTTAAACGTGATTGTTTGAGGGAATAGGATGGTTCCCCCACCCTGGCTGGGGGCCAGGTCGGTTCTTTGCCTGACTCAACGCCGTCGTGACAATTGAATTTGAAAATGAAGTGCACCAGCATGAGTCAACCAGAACTGTCTGAGACTTGCTGATGCACGCATCTTTGCTTGAGACGTTCAGTTTCACCATAGTGCATCCTGTCTCACCATAGTGCATCGGCGTGAGTCAAGCAGAACGGTCTGAGACTCCATAGAAGAGCAATAAAGCTGCCGATTCCTTTTGCGCATATAGTTGTGCCGGGACATCGCTGAATGTGATCTGTCACAGTCATTAGTCATAGTTCTTGAATGCTTTGCGGGTCCGCATTGTTGGTCTGTGCAGCTAGGTTTGCATGGAGTCAGGGCCCCGGGATGGGATGGATTACATAGATAGGCAGGCTGCTACCACAAAGAGACAAATCGATATATTTTATATTGAGATAGAGATAGAGATATGATATAAAGATGGATGTATGACTGTTAATATCTAGAGATGGATGTATGAGTGTTAAGATAAGAGTTTCCATTCCAGTCACAGTCAGGAGTCAGGACCCTAAACCCAAAAAGAACCAACTTATATCATATTGTAATACTGTGTGTGTCCCAGCCCAGAAACGGTCGCCGCCTGCCAGGTCCGCCCGTTTATACTTCTTTTTGGGGAGATGGCAAACCACCTTGGTTGGGGGGCCCCAAAGCACATAGCCCTCATGACATGTTCATGGATGCTGGTTTCGAGTCACATGGAAATAGGACTTCGCCGCACCACCCCGTCGGATTGCTGAGGTGGCCACGACAACGATGACTTCGCTGTGCGTACATGGGCCGGCCTGTGTGTAAAAGCGTCTGTGTGTACAAGTGATTGTGTGTAAAAGCGCTTGTGTGTAAAACCGTCTGTGTGTAAAAGCGTCTGTGTGTAAAAGTGTTTCTGCGTAAAAGTCTTTGTATGTAAAACCGTCTGTGTGTAAAAGTGTCTGTGTGTAAAGGCTTCTGTGTGTAAAAGCGTCTGCGTGTAAAAGCGTCTGTGTGTAAAAGTGTTTGTGTAAAAGTGTTTGTGTGTACAAGTGCCTGTGTGTAAAAGCGTCTATGTGTAAGCTTCTGTGTGTACAAGCGTTTGTATGTAAAAGCAGCTCCTGTGTGTAAAGGCTTCTGTGTGTAAAAGTGTCTGTGTAGAAGCGTCTGTGTGTAAAAGCTTCTGTATGTAAAAGCTTCTGTGTGTAAAAGCTTCTGTATGTAAAAACTTCTGTGTGTAAAAGCTTCTGTGGGTAAAAACTTCTGTGTGTAAAAGCTTCTGTGGGTAAAAGCTTTGTGTGTAAAAGCGTCTGTGTAAAAGCGTCTGTGTGTAAAAGTGTTTGCGATGCAAACTATTGTCTTGCACTTCTCACTATTTTGTCTTGATACTCCTCTTCTCGACTGCCTATAACACAGCTTTTATATATCGTTTCTAATATTGCGTCTCCATACTAACAAGAGAAGACCCTGCTCCTCTACGCTCTCGGGCCATCCGTCGTCTAGTATTTGAATGTTCAAACACTATATTGAAACAATATGGTATAACATACCCTCTGGTACTTTAACATAGCTATTGGAAATGGCCATTTATAGTGAGTTTTCCCATTAAAAATGGTGGTTTTCCATAGTTATGTTAGTTTACCAGAGGGTAAATGTCCTCTTTAATATTGAGAACTGTCCCAAAAATGCATCAATGTTCAAACCGAGGCCCCTCCCGGCGGTACAGTGCACATGGCCAGCACAGATGAGGAGTTTCTCGGGGTCGGGCACCTTTCAAGGTGCTTGAAGGGCGGCTGGATTTTCATGGGAAATATACGGAGATTCTCATGGAACATACTAAAAAGGCGGCTGGAATTTAGATGAATTTAGGAACACAGTTGACAAAACTTGGATATTCTCAACACGATGGCAATTTTGAGAGAATTTAAGCATCAACCATGATTTTGAAAGGGTGAACATGCAGCTATACACTTGCTGGGAGTATACCTGATGGGAAGCCCGGGGGGCTGTACCAACAAGATGCACGTATAAACATGGATGATGTTTACTGACAAAAGGGGATATTTTGACCGACCCACATAGCAACTACGTGTGTGTAGTGTATATATATATATATATACGTATATATAATACACATCAATTTGACAATTGCATATGCAAAAACAGACGTGGGGACTGGGAAAAAAAACCTCAGCAAGATTCATTATTATGCAGATAATTTGACGGTTAATTTTCTGAACCTCCAAAAACTCAAGTCTCAAGACTTTCCATTGCTGGGTTTGTTTACTGAGGGCTACTGTATCATGGTGCGTTTTGAGTGATTCTGATTCTGGCAGGACCTGTTGTGAACGCTGAACCGGGGTCGCTGAAGCAACTTCCATTGGGTCATGGGTCAAAGATCCCCAGAAACAAATCGAAGAAATGGAGATCATGTGGTTAAACCAATAGTAAACCATCCCTCAAATCACAATTTTTATAGGTGGTATAAACCACAACCAAATGGCTAGTTTATGATTGTTAAAACCATTTTAAACCTCATTAATCTAATGCAGTTTGCCACTGAATATCACCAAAATCATCCAACATCTGTCGCTTCCTGGGCCCCTCCCCAGTGAGTTCGGCCGCTCGGGGAAAGCCTGAGCAGCGGCGCCGAGTTGTGCAAAAGAGTAGATGTCTGCGGGGTGTTGCAGGGCCTTTTAGGGACTTAAAATGGTGGTTGATGGTGCTTGATAGTGCTTAATAGTGTTAACAAAATGTTGATAAGGGTTACCCTTGAACATGAGTGCCTGGAAATCGATCAAAATGGATGTTTCTATGGGAAAAACATGTATCAAATGGGGGATTTTCCAAATCATGTTTGATTATCGGAGGGTCGGTTGCCATAGACTTGGAGTTGGTGGGTTCCAAGCATTCTTTCTTGTCGGGCTGATCTGCCCAACGGCCAATGTTGCGGGCGTGAAACCACCAGTCAGATTTGCTATTGTTTTTTTTTTTGCAGTGATGGTTTGGAGAAGGGTAAAACCCTGGTACACCCAACAACAAACCCTGCATTGTTGCAGGCTTTGACAAAATTGGTAAATCTCGGGTACCCAAATCATCAAATTGGGCCCGGTTTATGCTGTTTAGCTTTCCCACATCATGATTTTTGGGGTCTGCCTCGGCATTTTTTGGGGGGCTCAGAGACCAGCGATACCTCCTTAAGGGCGCCCGTCCGTGCCCCCGGCGGACCGGCGGACGTCCGGGTTGTGGTGTTACCTTTGGGAACGTCTGCGCAAAATGCGCTAGGTCCGCTGAGCTGGGGGGCACGAGCTGGGCCAATGGTAGGGATGGAACAAGGGGGGGTCCTAAATTTCCAAGGAAGTCTTATGCTTGAATCATCTCAATGACTGAGGCAGATTCCAAACTTTGCTTGTCAAGGATCGTACTATAGGCTTCCAAGTTGTGGCAGAAAAGCTTCTACCCAGTTTAGATTTCCACCCCAAGGGGGATGACGCTGCTTTTCTATGGTTTATGTGTTTTGGTGTGTGAACGCTTGAAACAGATTGAAACAGTAAATTGGGTTTATCACCCATAGAACCAACACATGAAGAAGAATAAAGGGCTGTGGCTGGTAATGCATTTCCACTTGTTGGGTTGTTGAACAGCGGTTGGTATTTTGGGTCAACACTTTTAAAATCGAAACAGTGTACATTAATTTGGTAAGCAACCCAAACAAATCCACAATGACAGAATTTCAGGGGATGTTCATGTGGGAACTAATATAAACAATTACCCCAACATGACAACTTGGATCGGGAGAATGATGAACCATGGGATGTTTACTATATGTTCAGACAAACCCATGTATCCGATACTGGGGGAATATTGTGTGTTGACCCACAGCCACATCTTCTAAGGCCTGGGACTCACACGGGCCGTTGATCCATGTTTGGATCAATGGATTTTTTGGGGTTCCACATTTTGAACCGCCTCCAGTAAGTCCCTAACTGTTTCGGGTTCACATCCCGTATTGGCGAGAAATTCCATGGTGTCGACCACCCGGTCGACCATGCCGCAGGCGCTTACATTTGAGATGGACGAGGATGCGCTTGCGTTTGACCCTGGGAGAGTGATCCCAATAGACTATTCTCAGAGGGTTGAACCACCCATCTTTTTTTCTTCACCTGGTTGGCCGAAGATCAGTCTCTCGCCATCATAATGGGGATCCTAACACTTGTGCTGAGGTTGTTTACTCTTCTCCATTGGCTTTGAAATCAAGAATCATCAATTCTGCATCTGTGCAAATAGATGCACTATGATTGACTATGATGCAAGACACATGACAAATTGACCGAAATCGGATTGACCCAAATTGACCGATGAGTCTCCAATTCCCGGGGGGGATCCATGAGTTGGCAGAGGAGCCGCCCAGAGATGACAGCGATGCTGGGGAGGAGCTTGAGCCAAGCTCAGATATGGTGATTTAACTATGAACAATAGGGATACTGTATCATGGTGATTACTCATGACGAATTAATATATATATATAGTATATATGATATAATATGATATGATATAATATAATACACTATACTATTATTAAACATATGATATGATATTTGATATATATATATATATATATATGGATATGGATATGGTGATTTACCCATGAAATATCGGCATTGAATGGAGATTTTAAATGATTTTAGCGGGATGCGATCTATCAACTTGGGTGCATCCGGAACTCCCGGACTTCACGAACAATCGCAAGATTTTCCTGGGAGAAGCGAGTTCGAATCCCCGGAAAATAGGGGCATCATGGGGTACCTCATTTTTAAACTGACTCAGATAGTCTCACGAAAATTTAAGTGATGATTGTGATCCATAATCCAGATATAATCCAGATATAATCCAGAATACCCTCTGGTAAACTAACATAACTATGGAAAATCACAATTTTTCATGGGAAAATCAACTATAAATGGCCATTTTCAATAGCTATGTTAAATTACCGGAGGGTAATCTCCACAATGATCCATGGTTTCACTGGTTTCCAAAACGGGATTGGCTCCGCAGGAGGCAGCTGAACCGCCACAGGCGATTATGTTGGGACGGTTGGGGAAACGGGGAAACTCCTCCGAAATCAGGGAGACGTCTGAGGTTTATCTAAATAATCATGAACATTACAGCAATTTGCACAGATTCTATTCTTGTTGTAAGGGTTTTTCTTGCCAGTTCGCTATATCACACATTTCTGGTACCATCCCAGTGCTTTGTTGAATTCTATGATTTCTCGACCTGTTCATGGTAGAGATATCGGCCTAGAAAATGGTCGTTTTGTGGATGAGAGATTCAGTCAGAATTACCTGTAGAAAGTTGGATTCTGGTCCACAAATTTGACACCATTTCGGTACAGCAAAGGGTCCTGCCAAAAAAGTCGAGGTTTCAAGACTTAATAGCTACCAGTCCATCCGTAGATGTCCCATCTTGTTTCCTTGTCGCTCCTTTTGTTCAAAGCAGAAGTTGGCAAAGTTACCAACATGATTTCAACGCGATGAGGATAGAAATGGATAGAACCTGCGACCTGAGCTGCTGGGCAAGTGGTCATGCAGTTTAGATTTGCTTATGACATTACTGGTTGGTGGTTTGGAACATTTTTTATTTTTCCATATATTGGGAATAATCATCCCAAATGACTTTCATATTTTTCAAGATGGTTAAAAGATTAATTTCATAGCACTTAATTAGATACCCTTAGTAAAGAGACTTGTGGGCCGTGAGATGGCTGGCTCAACATGCTCAACCACCAAACGGACACCAGATACCAAGTCAGTATATTATTCTCATGAGATTCAACTCAAAATGTTCCTTATCATGATAAAACATGATCAGTCCTCTTTTATGATGTTGTTTTTTTTGTTGATCATTTTCATGATCTCATGATATCTCCATAAATTTTAACTTGAAATGAATGCCTTTCCCCATGTCTTAATCCATCATGTCATCTATTTACTATACATGAATATACATGATATCTATTGGTATCTCTGGTCAATAAGCCTCATTCATATGGGATACATGGGATCCAGTCGCTGACCATGTCGCCTTGGTCGATCTTGGTCGCCTTGGGATGGTCTCCTCGCGGCTGCTCTGTGTGGAGTGTGCCTATGTGAAAAACACAACTGGTTGGCGGTTGGCGGCTGGCCAATGTGAAAAATGGATCTGTTTGGTACAATGGCTTTGGTTACTATAGTATGATAGTATGGCTAATTATATATATATATATGATATTATATATATATTATATATATATATATATATTATATGTAGGTATCCATATGCAAATATGGCATTCATCCTGAGATAATGGGATAGATCCAACATGATCCAACGATAGTGGGCTAGAATGGGGCACTTACATCCCTGCAACTGTCATAGACCAAGGCAGATCACGGTTGAAAGACTAACCTGGGGATGGGCGATTCTAAGAGTCTCGTAGTTGGGACATGGTAATTCGGCAACTGTGGCATTGAAAAGATGGAGGTAGATATTTTATGATATTTTGTAGCCAAGAAGAATGCTACCCCATGGTGTATCAATATCTTCAGAACTGTAACGGATCAACATATTGGCAATGATTGTAGCAAGAACCATAGGAGACTGCAGCAGTATGACCATTGATTCGTTTAATACGTGCCAAAATGGGGACAAATGGGGACAACCATGGCAGAAACTATGCTGGTTGATTGTTTGTGGTGAAACCACCTACGGACCTAAAACATTCTTTAAACACGATTGATGAATGGGGAGGACCTGACTGTACCAGGGAAGTAGCATATCCTGGCATAAAGAGTGGGGTAGTTGATGGTAGACTGTCTGGTCCTGGTGTCAGATGTTTTATTTTGCATTTCTAACAATGGCATGATGATCAGATTCTACTTTCATACTTTTGAAATCACCAAGCAGTTTCTTTCAGCTATTCGAAAGAGAATGACCTGATGAACATGAAAGGGTCACTTTTACTTGGGAAGAGTAGGTAGGAGGAGTAGTGCTACTAGTTGTTGTTGCTGCTGCTGGTCTTGCTGGTGTTGTTGGTGTTGTTGGTGTTGGTGTTGGCGTTGGATGGCACCATGGTTTGTGCATTTTGATGCAAAGCCGCTCTTGTTTCCAGCAGCATGGAAAGGACTTGGAACATTTTCCAGCTACTGAGAGGGCCTTTTTTTGTTCTCAGCGGCTGAAACTTGAAACTGTCACCAAGATGGGGAATGGCACATCGGTGAATACGTCAATATCATATCTATGCCATGCAATGCCATGCATATCTATAGCCTTTCTCTTCCGGATGTATCATCATAGAATTGGATGATGGGAAAATTTACAGGAAAGCCCTATATTTGATGGTAAAAACCATGGTTTCCTGTAAATTTTCCCTTAAACCAATCCAATGAATCAGGGTGAAAGTCTGGTGAAATGATCCAGCTGCTCCATCCATGGTGAAACCCTCCGATCCAAAGGCTCCCCATCCAGCAGCGCCATAGAGGTGGTGACTGTATAGAAGAACCCTACGTTGAAGTGGATGTTGACGACGAGGATGAAAATGGTCGTGTTGCGCTCAAGCGTTCCTTGGTCGCGGATAGAACACCCACATATATATATTATATGATATACATATATATATATATAATATGATATATATAATACATTAATATGGAATTGTGGCTGGCTGTTTTTTTCTTTTCAAGCGCAATCTGCATCAACCTGCTTGCTTGATTTTTTGGTACGGTCTGAAATCAGACTTTCGCTCCAGGTGCCATCGACAACGTGGTGACGGTCTCTTGCCATGCAATAGCTAGAAGCTTGACGTTGGCAAGGCGTCAATCTAAAAAACGCCCTGGCCAGACCTAACGTCCTTCGTATTAAAACACATATCTATGTATCACAAGTGTATCCATTTACCAAGTGATCTATTTAATCTAATTGTCTACTTTATCTATCTATCTTCATTCATATATATATATTATATATATATTCAGCTGTTTGTCTACTTATTTATCCATTCATTTGCTTTGAAACTAGAACATACATACACCATTTACAAACACATTTACTGACATTTCACGCAGGCAGATTTGCTTGCATGTCTATCAAAAAACACTGGAACATACTGTTGAAATCAATTTGTTGTGTTTTCCAAACTTTTGCTGGCTAAATCTCACTGTTTATTGGTTGAATCACCATATTTTTACTAGATTCGTCACATTTCTTGGTGAAATGTAGTGTGTTGGTTCCATCCATCATTGTGGTTTACATACTTTACATAACCATTTTTTCGTTCTTGGACCCGAGGTGAGGAATGGCCCACCCCTCCCGGTGGTGGACATCCGGCACCGCTGGCACCAAGTGGCCTCCGATGGCTTTGTTGCGCTCTTCTGCAGTTGTCCCATGCTGTCCATCTTCGTGGCGCGTGGGGACGCCATGCTGGGCTTGGGAAGGGGGTACCATGGGGCACCGGGCGCCACGATGATGCTATGATTTCAGGTATATGAGTCTTAAGTGTCTATTGAAAACCGCATATTTCACGTGGAGGCACTATTTAAAGGTATTGAATGAATACGAATGAATTGTCGATCTCACAAACAGAATGATGAAAAGGGCAACACTAGGAGTACAAGTATATTATACAGTAATTACTGTGATCAGATGGTCTCTGGTTTTCTTTTGGACATCACCATCCACCAATTTGTCTCTTGTGATACTTCAAATGGAATCCACTCATGACCCATTTTCAAGGGTGATCAAGGGCGTATATATCATCTTCGGGCACCCCACTTTCATCTTTCATGCAAGATTTCAGGGCTGGGGAACGATGGGGAAACCATCCGTTTGGGGATCCCGAAGCCCTGCGTAGCGGCACAGGTTACATGGTGAAAAACTACCTGTTTGCTCGCTGGAGGTGCCTGAATTTGCACGAAGTTCTGCACAGTGTATGATGTCCACAAGATTGAGGACAAGGACGAGGACGACGATGATGACGATGGCGATGATGATGACGATGACGATGACGATGATGATGATGATGATGATGATGATGATGATGATGATGATGATGATGATTGACGACGACGACGACGACGACGACGACGACGAGGATGATGATGATGATGATGATGATGATGATGATGATGATGATGATGATGATAGAAACTGTTGCTCCAGTCCAGGGAGACTTGATAGATCGTTTGACCTTTTCCCCTGGAATCTTGGCACTTGCCCTGTTATCATGAGGTTCTGATGACATGCAAAACAACACCCTCACTGTTTGATGCTCCAAATATCCATGTCCCCAAGCAATTTCCGCACCATTTTTTGTGGAACCCCTCAACTTGCACCGAAGAACTTCAGATTGGTTTTTCATGTCTTTTCAAATGCTTTTCCAGCCCTAGCCTGGGATTTGTTGACCCCATGTGCCACAATTGGTTGAAAGATGTTGAAAGGAAAATTGCAGGAGACCTACACATTTAATCGACACTTCAATGCATAGTATTTTTTTATTTATTTTTGATTATTTTTGTGTATAAGACCTTCTATGGAAACCAATCCATCAGCCCATAGGTTGATTTTTCCACCGGAACACTCCTGGGGCCGGCAGCTGCGGCATTGGCTGGGCAGCGAGGAGCCACCCTGGTGGTCATGACTTGAGGAAAAATGGTGGTTTGACATCCAGACAAGATGGGAATTTTAGCGGCTAAAGCCAGTAAGAACTTGTAAAGATCCCATCCAACATTTCATACCAGGCCCTGGGCCCAAATAAATAGATCCAGCGTATCAGGGTTTTCACGTGGGTATTTTAATCTTCAAGGGCGAAGGAATGAGAGTATACAATTCAACTGGGTTACTGTATAGCTGAGGATTATCATTTTGTGAAGACATAACATCTGCGGAACTTGGTCATGCTGAACCTGGAGTGCTGTATTGGAAGATTTTTGCCGTTCGAAGAGTTGGCGAATACGATGGTATGCATTTGAATTCAAAAAGCCAGCAACTGGAACTCCCCATATTAGATAGGAACATCATCTTCCAATGACCCATAGAATACAGGATTTTCGGCAAGTTGTCACTGGAGGGTAAGTATCCAATGATCCAAGGCAAAGGTTGCAAGTTGCAACATCTCCAGGCTTTGATGTGGCTGATGCTGACGGATGTTGTCCTCGGGGACGGGCTGGAACTGGGCGGGTTCGCCGGTGGAACTCACTCTGAGATGTTTCTCAAAGCTTTTTGTCAGGGAGAGCAGCCACGAAATTGTCTAGGATTCCTTAACTTTCTTGGTCCCCCCAAATTTTTACGCTACGGCTACATCCTCACAACTGCAGCAACCTACATGGATGGATAGTTCAATACCTGCTTTTTTGATCTTTTTTGGCCACAGGCCCGTTCCCACCTTGGCCCTGTGCAGGGCCTGTTCACTTGCGATGGTTCGGTTATGGGAAGAACCGATTGCACGGCACAAAGTGCATTCGTGTGCCTTGGCGGCCCTTGGAATTTCATTATTTGGCATGACACATCTTGAGGATTCCAGCGGCAGAGCAGTGGCCACATGTGGCCACATTTACCAACGATGTTTTTTTGGGGGATTGTACATGTGCCATGGTCAAAAGTTGGATTACAGTATATCCCCAATGGTGGAGGATGGTCATCCCCTCAATGATGGTAGGATGACCATAGCCTTAACCCATATACAGTTTTTCAACCATGACACACATGAATGATCCACATGATTTCTACTAATCACTTTGTGCAGGGATTTACCAGGAACAATATCATACACATTCCTTCTTTGAGTGGCACAGGCATTGTAAAGCTGCTGTTGCTGCTTGGAGTGAGTTACATCCCCATTTGTGGTTAAAACAGTGGTGAACCCCCCTATTTTTGGCTGTTTGATTCCCATCCTTCACCTGGTCACCGATTCCTTTTCTTCCCAGAATTGGTTTAGTTGGGGTTCTCTTCGCCGGAAACTCAGTCGTTGATGCCAAGTTGACCAAGCTTTCCGGGTGAGATTTTCCCAACCAATCCAGGTCCTTACCGGTGCAGATGTTGACGAATGCCCTGAGTGTGACTTCCCTGCTGCTGCTCCGGACGCTGTGCTCGAGGGGCTCCGGTGCTCCGGTGGATGGCTGAAAAAAAACATAGACCCTGTTGCAAGATGAGTTTCCACCAAAAGCAAACAAATTCTTTTCAGGGTCTACCGCAATTGGGGGAGGTTATATACTATCTCTCTCTCTCTCTATAATTCTATTTGAGCCGGGATCTAAATTATCGTAAAGTAATTATAAAATAGTATATATTATATGGAGCGTTCACTGCAGATGTGTTATTTTGGATTTGGCTTGGAAAAGATAGAGGACGTCCTAAAACGATACCCCCTTATCTTACCTGGATTTGATTGAGACTATAACAGCGCTTATGACTTATGACCAATAGTCTCCAATGTTGCAATGTGACGTCATTGAGTTGGGAGATCATCCAATCAGGGATTTGGAGACCAGTATATATATATATATTCTCTATATATATATATATATCTCTCTATGTACATACATACATATACATTGGACTGGCAACGCCGGTTCGGATTTCGCGCTTCACCCGGTAACCGATAAGCCAAGAGTCTACCCGATAACCCGATAAAGGTAGACTCTACCTTTAACTTTATCGGCTTATCGGCGCCGGCCACCCGATAAACCGATAAAGGCGGGGTCCGTCCAATGTTCCTCAGCTGAATTCCTGGTGAAATGCAAATGTGAGCTTGCTCATTTCAGACAGACTCCGAATCATAAAATTCCGCTGCAGCTGTTTTCCATTTTTTTGGGGCGTGAAAACTTAAATGGTGTGGCACAGTTTGCACGGAAGGGGGGTCTTTACCGCGGCCGCTTAATAATTAACTCCCCAGGGGTTGAAATAATTTTTAGGAAGGTCCACCACCCTCGATGAGGGGGGGGGTTCCAACGTAAGAAATTATTTTACCCTAAAGAGGGTTGTTTCGTACAACAACCGAAGACACTATCAACCCACTGAAAATAATTTTGGAAATTATTTTGAGGGGGGAGGGGGGGTAGCTAAGGTAGGGTAGATTATATATATATATATAGACACACACTATATATACACATATATATATATATATAGAGTAGATATAAAAATATGTTTTTTACATATATACATGTGCCATGGTCAAAACTTGTTCAATTTGGCCCCATCTATATAATACGATGGTCGTCCAGCGTTGGATTGACCAAGGATTTTGGAGGTTCAGATCTTGGACGTGTCGGCTCACGTGCACTACCACAAGGTGTGGTTAGGGAACTGAGGTGCTCTGGAAGCTAATGGTTCCATTAAGTAAAGTATTGGTTAAAGTCTACATCACTATATATATATATATATATATACATACTATCTACTATATATATATATATCTACTATGTATATATATATATATCTACTATATAATTATATATATCTACTATATATATATATCTACTATATACATACTATATATATATATATCTACAATATATATATATATACCTAGTAAATATATATATATACATGTATATATATAGCTATGGGTAAAGTCTCTATTAAATGGGGAGCCAGTTGGAGCTGCAAATTGACTTCCCCAAAAAAACATGATAGGTGAAACTGGTTATCAACCGACTTGGCGGAACAGATTCTGAGTGGCTCAAGTCGCTGGCCTGCGGTGTTGTTAGCCTGAAAACAATGGATTTTTTCAAACAATAATTATGGTTAACAATCATGAATAACTAATGACCAACCATAGAATACATAGAAGCTAACAACATCTAATCATTTTCTGATTGTTTTTGATGGTGAATGGTGGTTGATAATAGCTAATAGTAGTGAATCATAGTTGGTTTATCATTGATAATAATGAAAGCAGACCAACATAGTCAGTCATGGTTATAATGTTTGATAATGGTTCATAATTGATGGTTAGCCAACATCTATGATTGGTTGATATGCTTAATCATAGTGAAAAATGGTTCCTAATGGTTGATAATGGTTAATCAATGTGTTTAATGGTGATTAGTGGTTACTAATAATGGAAAATACCCTCAAACGTGGCTTGCTGGAAAGTCCCCGAACTAGCCCTGAAGGTTTATACCAGGGACGATTCCCGAACTAAATGGGAGATTTTCCGGCAAATCATGTTTGATTCCCGGAGGGTAAGGGAGTAGGGAGTCATTTAACCAACAGTAATTCAATAATTCATTTTATTAATTTATGGGTTTATCCATGGGTTTATCAACAAACATTCTGCATTTAGACCGATTTGGACCTGACATTTTCATAGATTTTCCATGGGATAGAGGGGGATATGATGAAAACGGATGTTTCTTCAGGGCTTCCCCATGTTGCGCCAACACAAAAAAATTGGGGGTCACCGAAACCGGGGCATCCCCATGAGATCATTGGGGGTATAGATGTCCAATAGATAACTTACTGGTTGGTGGTTGGGAACCATGGAAAATCATCCCAACTGACGAGTTGTCCATGATTTTTCGGGGTTGAAACTACCACCAACCAGATATTTTCTTTTTTTTGACATCTCCCACTGCTGGATCATGCTCCCATTTACTTCGAACAGTATCCAAAAAAAACCATCAACCCCACCATCAAGTTTCAGTTCCTGGTAGCATCCCTTGTTGTATCACATGAGTATCCCCATGTGACTTACCATTTTTTCATGGTGAAATCTCCAACGTTTTGGCCCTCCAGGTCCGCGCCCGAAATCGCCTGGAAGCCTCAGCAATTCCAGATGCGGAGGGACGGAAGAGCGATGCCATGGAGTTCTTGCAGAAGTTCCCCAGCGCGATGCCGGTGATTTGTTTTGGGTCGACATGGCAACATGGTGGATGAAACTCTAAAATGATGGTTTAACATGGTTTAACCATAAAATGATGGTTTAGAATGTTTACTGTAGATCAGGTTATTAAGTTCGAAACATGTTGTTTTCTTCTGCTCTGTTATGTTTTCTATAACATGGCGGATTTCAGCATAGCGAATGGGGATTTAGACCATATTTAACGAATGAACAATAGGCTTGGATTTTTTTTCCGACATTTGCTATGAATGGTATTGACCACCATCATTGGATGGCAAATACTGTAGGTTCATGGGTTTGAACCACGGCACTGAGATGCAAGACATGGATCGTTGATCCATTGGCTTCGTACTCTACGCATCCGAATATCGATTTTGTTGTTTATTCACGCTTATATATCCATGTGATTCCATGTGTTCTTCATGTTTGTTGTATTTTTTCATTTTTTTTTATTCCACTCACAAGTTTGATGCTTGTTGGTTCAACCAGTTTCAACTATAATACATGTTGGCGTACATGTTAAGACATTCGAGCTATATATAATTATACTTGGTTATAAGTTATAAGATTTAAGGGCTGCCGCCCCTGCCGCCGACCCCGGAAGAAGTGGCAAGGAAGCAAAGCTGGCAGAAAAACGCTTCGGTGCGTTGCACCTTGAGGTTCTCGACCTTTTTGCTATGTACATCCTTGTGAAATATATTTGATAGGTTTGAATTTTCATGTGTAAATGGGTTTTTCATTTGAGTGCATGTTAATACTCTGATCTTATGGTTTTATGGGTTCATGGATCTAAGTAACAGTATAATAGTTAGATATATATATATATACACAATATTTTTGGCCCTATTATTATACAGCTAATGTTGCGCCGCACAGGTGCATGGTTGCGCCGCACAGGTGCATGATATTTTATGAAAGTATACGAGGGCGTTGTTTTTTTTGATCCCCCACCTTGTTTGTTTGACTTCCCCCGTGTTTTTTTTGACCCCTCATGAACGAAATCTGAAATGAAACTCTAAAGAAACTCTCAAGAAACCCACATGAATGTTTGAAAACCTTGACAAGATTTTCTGATAAGAAATTCACATAACACTCGAAATTAAACGCGAAAGGAAATCGGAAAGAATCCCTAAATGAAACCCTACATGAAACCCGACAGAAACGCAAAAGAAACTCGAAATAAAACCCTTAAGAGATGTAAATATCAAGAGAATTCCTACATGAAATTGAAATCCTACTTTTTTTGTTTTATTCTTTCCTGTTTGTATCTTAAATGAAAGTTTAAACACCGTAGGTGAAACTGTGAAACCGAAAGAAACCCGAATGAATTGCTGCCAGAAACCCCTACATGAAACACAAAATGAACCCTAAAGAAATCATAAATTGACCTAAAGAAACTATAAATGAAAGCCTGCAATTCAATGCAATGCACTGCAATGCAATGCAAGGCAATGCAATGCAATGCAAGGTAATGCAATGCAATGTACTGCAATGCAATGCAATGTAATGGAATGCAATGTAATGCAATGCAATGCAATGTAATGTAGTGCAATGCAATGTACTGCACTGCAATGCAATGTAATGCAATGCAATGAAATGCAATGCAATGTAATCCCATGCAATGTACTGCAATGTAATGCAATGTAAGGCAATGTAATGCAATGCAATGCAATGTAATGCAATGCAATGCAATGCAATGCAATGTACTGCAATGCAATGTAATGGAATGCAATGTAATGCAATTGAATGCAATGTAATGCAATGTAATGCCAAGCAATGTAATGCAATGCAATGCATTGCAATGAAAAGCAATGAAATGTAATGCAATGCAATGCAATGCAGTGAAATGTAATGCAATGCCATGTAATGCAATGTAATGCCATGCAATGTAATGCAATGCAATGCCCTGCATTGCAATGAAGAGCAACGAAAGGTAATGCAAAGCAATGCAATGAAGTGTAATGCAACGCAATGTAAGGCAATGTAATGTTATGCAATGCAATGTAATGCAATGCAATGCATTGCAATGTAACGCAATGAAATGTATCGCACCTTGAAGCGCAGCAATCTTGTTATCTAGACTTGGAACAGCAGAGGACGCAGCAAAAGTACTTGGGCAGAGTTGGGTGCCCACTTGGGATGGCTGGAAAGAATTGCAAACAAGCACGACAGAGGCTCACTGCGTTGCAGTTGCGGACCGTCTGTGTGACATCGCGCAGGTAAATGCTCCTGGCCGAAGCATGACTGATACCCAAGCTTTAAAGGCTTTGGCAGCTGAAGGGTTCAGGTGGCAGCAGGCGCTGTCACACGGCGTCAACAATTGCCTAATCGATTCCTTGATGCTGTGCTTAGCGTATGAAGGTCTTTTGCCAAGCAACTTGGGCGCAGATGTTGCAGCAAGACGACGCAGTGCAGTTGCATGCAGAAAGCATTTGGTTCAAGCGGTTGGGCAAGCAGTACTTCCAAGCGCGAAGGGATTCTTTCCATATTTAGATGCGCACCGCGATGGCCCGCACATTGTGACATTTCTGTTGCAACGATTTCGGGCTGTTGCGCGCGCTAACATGATAATTCGTGTGCACGACCGATTTGGTGAGTGCACGGCAGACCCAGATCGGAACAAGATTCTTGTCCATCTTGGGTTCGAGCACCCCGAGCATCATGCCTTACAGCTGCATATATACAATCACACCTCTGTGCAAGGCAGGGGATATCATTTTGATAGTCTGTTGCGCCAAACCACTGTGCGTGAAACTGAACCAACCGTAGAGACGGACAGCACGAGGACAAGCGCCAACATAGACAGAACAGAAAAAGACGTAGATCGAAGAGCAGAAGCAGTATTTGCCAAGCTGGCATGGCGCCTTTGCGGTTCTAGTTTTGATATCCCCTGGCTTGAAGCATTGCTATTGAATTTGCTTTTTCATGGATACCTTTCTATGGGACCTTCTGTGATGGCATCGCAGAAAGCACGACATCAACTATGCAGATCATGCCAAAGACATCTAAAATTGGAGCCAAAGCCGGACGAGGCAGAAGCACAGACTTTCGACTTGCAAAGCCACCTTGCGGCCGCAATATTTTTTCTTCTGGGCACCAGCTACAAGAGTGTGAATGCTGATGTATATGTTCATGATGCAAGTACAACTGACTTGAATGTACCACGAGACAGTTACAGGATTGGTCCACCCGACAGTTTGCTAGTGCCAATTTTCCGACTCTACTGTTTTCAAAATGGTCAGTATGCCGCGTTATTGCCTCTGCTGGTGTCTGCTGCTGCCTGCTGCTACCTGCTGCTGCCTGCTGCTGCCTGCCTGCTGCTCCCTGCTGCTGCCTGCTGCTGGTGCTGCTGCTGGTGGCTGCTGCTGCTGCTGTGGTGTTGCTGTGGTGCTGCTGCAATCAAACAGCCTCCAAAGCAAGAAACAAACAGCCAGACACCCTTTTCGAAACACATCCGAAACAGCAAAACGCCACCTAATTTCGTGCCTAAAACGTAGCAAAGGAATCCCAAAAAAGGGCCTAACGTCACTTCTGAAACCCTACTATAAAATTGCAACTTTGCCGCTGCCTGCCGCTGCCTGCTGCTGCTTGCTGCTGCCTGCTGGTGCCTCTGCTGGTGTCTGCTGGTGTCTGCTGCTGCCTGCTGCTGCCTCTGCTGGTGTCTGCTGCTGCCTGCAGCTGCCTGCTGCTGCCTGCAGCTGCCTGCGGCTGCCTGCGGCTGCCTGCCTGCTGCTCCCTGCTGCTGCCTGCTGCTGGTGCTGCTGCTGGTGGCTGCTGCTGCTGCTGCTGTGGTGCTGCTGTGGTGCTGCTGCAATCAAACAGCCTCCAAAGCAAGAAACAAACAGCCAGACACCCTTTTCAAAACACATCCGAAACAGCAAAACACCACCTAATTTCGTGCCCAAAACGTAGCAAAGGAACCCCAAAAAAGGGCCTAACGTCACTTCTGAAACCCTACTTAAAATTGCAACTTTGCCGCTGCCTGCCGCTGCCTGCCGCTGCCTGCTGCTGCCTGCTGCTGCCTCTGCTGGTGTCTGCTGCTGCCTGCTGCTGCCTGCTGCTACCTGCTGCTGCCTGCTGCTGCCTGCCTGCTGCTCCCTGCTGCTGCCTGCTGCTGGTGCTGCTGGTGGCTGCTGCTGCTGCTGTGGTGCTGCTGCAATCAAACAGCCTCCAAAGCAAGAAACAAACAGCCAGACACCCTTTTCGAAACACATCCGAAACAGCAAAACACCACCTAATTTCGTGCCCAAAACGTAGCAAAGGAACCCCAAAAAAGGGCTTAACGTCACTTCTGAAACCCACTATAAAATTGCAACTTTGCCGCTGCCTGCCGCTGCCTGCTGCTGCTTGCTGCTGCCTGCTGCTGCCTGCTGCTGCCTCTGCTGGTGTCTGCTGTGCCGCTGCCTGCTGCTGCCTCTGCTGGTGTCTGCTGCTGCCTGCTGCTGCCTGCTGCTGCCTGCAGCTGCCTGCGGCTGCCTGCGGCTGCCTGCCTGCTGCTCCCTGCTGCTGCCTGCTGCTGGTGCTGCTGCTGGCTGCTGCTGGCTGCTGCTGCTGCTGCTGTGGTGCTGCTGTGGTGCTGCTGCAATCAAACAGCCCTCAAAACGTAGCAAAGGAACCCCAAAAAAGGGCGTCACTTCTGAAACCCTACTTAAAAATTGCAACTTTGCCGCTGCCTGCTGCTGCCTGCTGCTGCCTCTGCTGGTGTCTGCTGCTGCCTGCTGCTGCCTGCCTGCTGCTCCTTGCTGCTGCCTGCTGCTGGTGCTGCTGCTGGTGGCTGCTGCTGCAATCAAACAGCCTCCAAAGCAAGAAACAAACAGCCAGACACCCTTTTCGAAACACATCCGAAACAGCAAAACACCATCTAATTTCGTGCCCAAAACGTAGCAAAGGAACCCCAAAAAAGGGCCTAACGTCACTTCTGAAACCCTACTATATAAAATTGTAACTTTGCCGCTGCCTGCCGCTGCCTGCTGCTGCTTGCTGCTGCCTGCTGCTGCCTCTGCTGGTGTCTGCTGCTGCCTGCTGCTGCCTGCTG